GAGCAAGACGAGGCACCCGAGGACGAGTCCATGAACCAGATGAACCCAATGGCCGGCGGTGGCGGTGGCGACGGTGGCTTCGGCGGCATCGACTTCAGCAAGCTCGGCGCTGGCGGCGGTGGTATGCCCGGAATGGAGGGCATGGACATGGCCAGCATGATGCAGGGTATGGGCGGTGCCGGCGGAATGGGAGGCATGCCCGGTATGGGCGGCATGGGCGGAGACGACAGCGACGACGATGACGACGACATGCCCGAACTCGAGAACGACGACGAGAACAAGGCCAGCCAGGACAAGACCCCCGAGGCGGCCGCATCAGGCGACAAACCCAAGATTGAGGAGGTGGCGTAGTTGCTCCATCTTCTTGCGACAAGCGTATGACTGCACGAGATTGAATGGGTGGGCATGGCGCGCATGACTGGTGACCGGCGTTTCTGCCTCAACCTCTTCGAGGCAAGAGGGATTGGAGTCTGATACCTTTGACTGAAAGATGGAGAAGAGAGGTTGCATCTATAGGTCGCTTGCGTATTTCCGAGTCCTCATCCTAGCGTGCTGGTGCGCAGTGCGGGTTAATGATCACATCATGATGGAGTATATGACAAAAGAATACGAATCATGTTTTCATGACTGAGGCTAGATTGCAACATGTAGGGTCATTTGATGCAACACTCCGCTACATTCGGGAATCTTTCTAATATGCATAGTACACGCACCGGACCGCCTACGAAAACGAACTGTGCGGAGGTGAACCTAAGTCTGTCAGCAAAAGCCTGTATACCTCTCCCGGCGTTGCTGCACCACACGTCAGCTACGCAAATGATCAGCCCAACAGACCGGTGAAGCCCTTTGATAGCCATACGCCCTCACAGTCAGACTTGTTGAATATGTCTCTTTGGTACTGTAGCCTAAATGTACAACATGACCGCGCCACATTCAACTAAAGCCCGTAAGACTGCAAAGCATTACGGATATAATGAGTAACTGCAGTCGCCAGCTCCAAGCTCACACACGGTCAACACAAAGTCCTTGTTTTGACAGCGTCCAGCTAAGAGTAACACTTCAAACAACCGCGTCTTCACATCAGTACATCAAGCAAGATGATTTTCACATTAGCTTACATACTCACCTTTCTGTGTCACTTCAACCATGCCGAAATGGTAGAATACCCATCGCCAGATCTCGATATCGTTACCTTCGACCCCGTTCCAACAACGCCATTCCCCATGCGTAAGCAGCAAGAATCTTCCAACAAACCATCCTGAGGTCTAATCACATGTCAGCTCCACAAGACATCCACACCTGCCAGCGTACCAACGCCCGGAACAAACACCCCCAAGCAAAGTCAACTAACAAAAACCGCCAGGATTATTTGGTCAACAACACCAAGAAGACGACGAGCCCCCGCCGGAAGTATACCAGCGCCACCGCGTTCGTGTGAGACTACAAGGATCGCTGGAATGGCGAGCAGATATGGCGGGGCATTTTTACCGGCAGGTTTACGATGATTCTGGTATGTGTCTTTTCGATCTTGATGATGTGCGGTTACAGCTAACGAGAGGGTGTTATATTAGCCGATGAATGGTATATACAGTGGTGGAGCTATGATCAGGGGCGAGCATATCGCGTTTTGACAGATGTTCATGGTTGGTTTGCTCCCCTTGTCACAATAACATGACTGTTAGTGTATTGACATGATGATCCAGGTCGTAACTACACTGCATGGATCTAGTCCATCATCCGGTCTGTTCTACGAGTCTGAGACCCATCTCTTCAACGCACCCAACCTACTCAATTCCAACATCATCTACTTCCCCCCCTGATTAAAATTCATACTATACCCCCCACTCTTCTCATCCTTCGTAAACTGAAAATTCTCCGTACTCAATCCAAACGGCTTGAGTATCCCATTGCCCAACTGCTTCAACTTGCCCATCATATCCGCCATCTCCGTATTCTTCGCTTCATCCAATTCACTTGGTAGCTTTCGCAACGCGGCTTGTACGGCCTTTTGATCGAGGCTCGAGAGTTGGTGGGGCGGTTTGGAAAGGGCTTGGTAGTCTTCTAGAGAGCCTTGGAGCGAGGCCCAGCCACCGACTTCATGTCGGGCTTTTGCGCGGCGGAGGAGGGCTTTTGTGCGGAGCTTGTGGACGTCGTTTATGGTGTGGTTTGTCCGTGTGAGAGCGTCGAGGTAGAGTTCGGTTGTGTCGTCGATTTCGGCGATTGCGCCGCCGCCTGTTGCGTCTTTCTCCGCTCCATCTTCTCCTGGTTCTTTCTGTGCTGGCGGATCTATTCGGTCTAGTGCTTCAAGTGCTTGTGTTGCGGATTCGACAGCTTGCTTCCATTCTGAGAGCTTGAGGTGGCAGGCTGCGATGTTGGAGCGGAGGACGGCGATGTCGTATTCGAGGTAGGAGGGGCAGATTGCTAGGGCTTTTTCGTAGCCTTGTATCGCGCCGTTGTACTCGCCGGATGTAAAGGTTTTGTTCGCTGAAGCTTTCTCCGTGTTGGATTCGTCGAGGAGCTTTTTCTCTTCGTCTGGGGGGAAGATTTCTTGGGTTGAGGGCTCGATTGCAGATGCTTCTGCTTTCGTCGCTGTTTCTTCCTGTGATGCCATTCTAGCTTAGTTCTAAAGTGGAACTGACGCGTAAAGTGTGTATATGTTATGCGGATGTGTTTGGAGAAAAGGTCGATCTGTTTTCGAAGTGACGTCTGCAGTCAAGGGTCCGACTAGCGTGCCTCGGCCACGTGGGGTAAACATTCACCTAACCCCAACTTTCGAGAAGCCTCAATTGAACCTGCATAACACCTTGACACGGGCGAATCTTCGATTACAAGCCCTATATACGCTCAAGATGAGCTCTACGTAAGCAACATCTTCGAATACAACGCTCACCCATACTAACCATCCTCAGTACAACCCCACCACCCCGCATCCGCGCAGCGCTCTTCGACATGGACGGTAAGCCCCCCATCACTTCCCCCTCACCACCCCTAACAACCTCCCCAGGCCTCCTCATCGACTCCGAAGACCTCTACAGCATAGTAACCAACACGATCCTCGAACGCTACGGCCGCCCACCCCTCCCCTGGTCCGTAAAAGCACAACTGCAAGGACGCCCCGGCCCCCAAGCCGGCAAAATCTTCCACGACTGGGCGCAACTCCCCATCTCCCACGAGCAATTCCTCGTCGAGCAAAAAGAGCTCCAGAAAGATATCTTCAGCACCACGAAGCCACTACCGGGTGTCATGGACCTACTTGCAGGATTGAAGTCCAGAGGCGTACACATGGCGCTCGCAACAAGCAGTAACAAGAACAACTTTGAGATCAAGAGCAAGCATTTGGGGGATTTGTTCGCGCATTTCAAGAAGGAACATCAAGTCCTCGGCGACGACCCAAGAATACCTTCTGGCCGCGGTAAACCCGCACCAGATATCTACCTCCTCGCCCTCTCCACGCTCAACAAGACCCTCGAGGCAGAGGGTCAACCACCCATCCAACCAGAAGAATGTCTCGTTTTTGAAGACAGCGTGCCGGGCGTTGAGTCGGGCAGGAGAGCGGGCATGCAGGTGGTTTGGTGTCCGCACCCGGAGTTGCTGGTTGAGTATAAGGGGAGGGAGAAGGAGGTGCTGGCGGGGTTGACGGGCGAACACAAGGAGGATGAGGAGAAGCAGTTGCAGAAGAGTGAGGTTGAAGTCAAGGAGGGGAAGAGGAAGGTGGGTATGCCGGGGGAGATTGATGATGGGTGGGGGAGGTTGCATAGGAGTTTGGAGGAGTTTCCGTATGATAGCTATGGGATGGGTGGGAAGGCGTGAGGTGTAGAGATGGGCTGATTTGGTTTGCTAAGTGCTTGGTCTCAGCTTCATAAGAATCGTGGACCCCGGCGGATGATGGACTATACCCATGCACTGTAATCACGACCTATTGATCCACGTCATCACACTGTCTAGGCTTCTGATCTAACATGAGGGCTACTAACCTTGCTCGTCCCTCAAAGTGCGGTATGCGCGCCCCTCGTTGTAGTCCCACCACACTGTGTACCATTGCTGAGCTGGTTTCATCATATTAATTACCGACCCGTTCCGTTAGGGCAGAAAACACATACAGTTATTGTCGTAGACTTGTTGATAGTAGTGCTGACCCGCTTGGTCCCATTGCCAATTTGAACTCTGGTGCTGTTGGTAGGCCTGCTGCTGGTGATCCGGTTGTGGCGTTTGGTGTTCTTGCGGTGATTGGTTTTCCTGCGTTGATGGGCTTTCTTGTGGTATTTGATTTCCTTGCTGCGGAAGAGACATATCTGGTAAACTCTGTCTCTGAGGTACTTGATTTCCTTGCGGTGCTTGGTTGACCTGCTGCTGCTGGCCCATGATTTCTGCAATCTGTATAAGCTCTGCCTGCTGGGCCCTATTCCTGTTGGCGTCATGCTGTTCGTCGTATATTCTTTGGTTCTCTGTTTGTGTTAGGTATGATACTGAAACATCTCAAAAGCTTACTCTGGGTCCACCTCGGAATGGTAGTAGATGCATGTGCATATGTAAATCCGCATGGTTGTGTCGTCTCACGGGCAAAGGTGACCGGTATACCTGCAGGGGTTCCCATTGACGTTGGGTGTACGGAAAAGTGGGGAGGTTGACTTGTGATGATCCCCGGGGCTACTGTACTGAAGATGTCCTGCAAGAGCCACTCGTTTGTCGTTCTATCTGGCTTGCCTAGTGCTACCTGGGTATGTACGGGGAGAACAAGACTATAAGCGCGACTAGTATTGCTAGTGTCTCACACGGCCCCAGGATGGTATCTAGGCAGCTTTATCAACAGTGCACAGTAGTAGAAATCAGCCTGAGAGAGCTTTGGGCTGGAGACGGACACCACTGGTGTGCCAAGCTGGCTGACTGGGCGGCTGACTGCACGCAGCAAGGCTGAATTCCGCCACCACGATTTATGAAAGCGGGGTCAATTAACACAGTACTTCCGAATGGCTTCTATCTGCTTCATTTAACAATCTGCGATGACTACGATATCAATCGATCAAATTCAAAATGGCTATCCCGGACTTGCGAAGTTCATGGGAGGGAATCTAGACCAGGGCCTTGGAATCTTCAAGCAATTCGCCGAACTCAACACACGCAGCCTGCTGTACATGCAGGCTGAGCTCCTTTGCTTACAGCAAGAGCTCGATGTTATCACTCATGTGGACGAGCATGGAACGGATCCCAGTACAAAGAACTTTGCTAGGAGTGTATGGGAGATGAAGAGGCCACCGAACAAACCTCAGTGGGAAAAGGTCTTAGAGATTAGAAGGAAGTTGAAAGACTACAGTGTGGCTCCTCCCATACCCCAAATCGTAAGACTGGGTACTGACACGGCTGACGATGACTGCCTACTCCAGCAAGCCAGCATCGCAAAACTGGATCGCGCCAACAAGAACGACCAGAAATGGCTCAGGGTCTGGCTGCAACACGACGAAGGAGGCAAAAGCTTCCTCGAAGGCTGCGAATATCGAGCGTACGACGAGGTAGAGCGACCGGATTTGATCTCCATCTCCAGTAGACCCTCCGACGATAGATTCACGCGATGGCTAGAAATGAGCTTGATACCCCATCTTCCAACTCGCCTACGGAAAAGGATTCTAGTAAGTGTAATACCCACCCACTCTTCCGCTACGCTCACAGTCCCATTACAGGAGCCGATGGCGGGATCAGAGGAGACGGGTATAGGCCGCGTCAAGCTAGAAGTCCTCCACCGATTCGCTCGAGCGCTTAATGTGGTACTTTCTGCAATCATACCGTCGACCGCCATCGTCGCACTGTATATGATCAACAATCTTCCATATAGAATCGCGGCCGTTGCAGCCTTCTCCGGTGTATTCGCATCTGTTCTAGCCATCTTCACGACAGCACGTCCGGTGGAGATTTTTGCGGCTACTGCAGCGTGAGTCTTCTGTTGTTGGATGCAGACGGTTTTGCTGATAAACTTAGGTTCACTTCCGTACAGGTCGTTTTCGTGGGCGGAACTACTGGCGATGACGGACAGTGCCAGTGCAGCCCGTAATATTCGATACGCGACAAAAGATTCCAGCTCTTCATGTTCCAGTCGTCCATTCATTTGTACACAATCGCTTCAAAAAGGAGAATTTGCTTTTTCCTCTCCATCTAGCGGCACATGGGTGCACAAAGGATTTTCTAGAAGGGTGCTCGACAGGCCTGTCAAGACATCGCTATCCTTGCAGGGCAGCATTAGCTCCCGTTGTCTAACCACTAGTCAGGTCCCCTTTCTCAATGTCGCTGCACCATGTTCGTCGCGTCGAAGAAGACATTATGAACATATAGGACGCGTGTGGCAGGTGGGAAATATCCAGGGCTGGAGTTGGAATGTCCGGCAGCTTCTTCGGCGGGGTATCAGGATCTGTCGTCCAGTCGTTGGAAGCTGCCAATGACGCATCCAGACATGACGTGCCGTTATACGATTGGCTGCGAGGGTTAGTCCCGGCAATGAGGCACCCATGTCATGTCGAAATGTCGTGTTATTAGCAGTGATGGAGACGCGTCGTAGCACCAGGCGGAGGCGTAAGAAGACTGCAGCTGCATCCAGGTTAAAAGACACACCGAAGTTCAAGGGAATTCGAGAGCGAACGAGTTCTTGGAGGGTCGGGTATTTGATGCATGGCGTTGCTGCAGCTCTTTCATGTGGCCTCGGGGGAAAGGCCCCTGACGCCAACTGGCATCAGGCGCTAGCAGCGTGCATGGCTGACATTAGCCTCGCCTGCTCTCCTGTCCGTGTCCACATTTTGTCGACGACACTGGCACGCCTCCGACTGCCTCTCTTCCTGCTTCATCCGCTGTTGCTGCTGCCTCGGGATGTTCGCTCGTCCTGTCGTCTCCAGAATCGTGCATCTATCCCACCCCATGTCGCTCTTTTAGCCACCAAGCCCAGCCTTTCCTTGATATATTACCTTGTAATCCTACTGCGCGCCAAACTCTCTACGCGCGTTTCTTTGCCGAGCACTGACTGCAGCGTCGTCGGAACATTTGTCGCCTGTTTGACGCGCGCAGCATCCGAGACGGAAAAACAAGAGTTGCAGCTCGTCGAGTTGTGCTGTAGCGGGAAACCCTTGGATGCACGCTCGACGGTCCACCTCGTCCTCGCAGCCGCCGCCCTCATCGCCTCCATTTGCTCCCGGGCACTTTGGTGAAGCTTCGACTCCGCCCGAGGCGCGTGAAGCAGTCTCGCCCACCTGGACGGCCCCCTCGCCGGCTCGCACCCTAGCCAACTCGAGCCCAGAGCTCCCTACGCTCCCGTCCTTTTCCATACTGGGCAACAACCCGCGCACCCCGTCCAACGCTGCGAGACACGACCGAACCGACACTTCCTACTACACGGCCAGCTGGGGCAGTCCCTACAGACACCCGCCGCCCGTCTTTAATCCGTCGCGTCAGGTCTCGACCAACTTCGGCAGCGACGACTTTGAAGAGGAAAATTCCGGACTCACATTCGGCCTCGGACATCTGCTTCCATCCCGGCTAGATCTGCAGGAAGAGTCGCCGAACCAGTTCAATCTCGAGCATCTCATACCGCGTCTCGAACGGAACGCCTCGCCGAACCAGTTCACGCTCGAACATCTAATCCGCTCTCGACTGCCAAACTTAGTGACTCCCACCAAAGAACCGCGAGCGTCCGGCACTACTCCCCGCGCGTCCGACACGAACCCGACTTCGCAAGAGTGGGTTGAGCGATTCTTAGAAGAGCGTTGGAACCGCGAGACAAACGACTGGCGGAGTAATAACAGCGACACAGAGGGATCAGGTGGAGAACCGGACATACCACTTGCGCCTCCGCCGAAAAGAGGACACAAGCAGAGGAACAACAACAAGACCCTGAACCAGCAGGACTTTTGGCGTCACTTTAGTAAAGACCAGAAGGAAGCACTCGGCAAGATGATGGCCTCAAAGTACGCGGATCCTGAGCTGGTGACAGCCAGGCAAAACTCCGCATCAGGTCCCAGTACGAACGGACACAGTGCCCAGGCTGAGAAGACGCCGGTACCCACTCCTTCAAAAACAGCTAAGCCGGCAGATGAAACTCCCAGCAAGCAATCGAACAAGGACGCCTCCAAAGCGAACCAGGAGTTGTCGAACAAGCCACTTCCCGACACCCCAAGCAAGTCATTTTTGGCTCCTCCAGGTGCAGCACCTGCGCAACCTCGGATGCGAAAGAAGGTCATTGTCAAGGGCAAGGGCTGCATCATCTCGATACCTCGAGACATTCCCAGGGGTAACCCGGGGTTCCCTCCGAAGCCGATGACTGCAGAGGCTGTGAACAACAAGCTCCGACAGCTCGAGCAGCAGGGCTACGACACTCGTGGCTTCAGTACTGGAGGCTTGGAGACACATAACCGTGCCATCTGGCCCGCTGAGGAGGATGTCAAGGCAGAACGCGCAAACTCCAACAAGCAGTACAAGGTCCGCGTCTCGAAGGAATCAGAATGGAAAGACTACGAGAACTCTTTGCTTGAAGCTAAACTGGCAGCACTTGGTGTCAGTATTGGTGGCGAGGAAGATATCCCTCTTCCTATGTCGCGAACAGCATCATCACAGCAACACCCGGGGCAAGGGTTTACTCCACCAATTCCGACCTCCTCAGCTGGCAGTCTTCGCATGGCCAGGCAAGGCAGTATCGCCGGCTTTCCATTCGGACCCTCGCCAGGGCACATGTCCCGACAATCGATCGCGTCTCCGGCTGCTTTTGGAAACCAGCGTCCCAGCATGCACATGCATCGCCATTCAACTTTTGGGTCGCCTGCCAACTTTGCTCAACACGGTTACTCACCTTCAGGCACTTGGTCGCCTGCTGGATACTTCAACTCCCAAGATGGACGCAGCGGCTCCCCTGCTCTTGCTCTGAGCAGGCCTGATCTTTCCGGAATGATCTCGCCACATTCTCCATTCGGCATGAGACCCGGCCAGCAGTTTCCCATTACGCCGACGCAGAGGGATGACTTCCAGCTGCAGATGCAACTGCAACAGCAGCAGCTACAGAACCAGCTTCTTCAGCAGCAACAGCAACAAGTCCTTGGCTTGCGCCCGTCCTCCACTCTGGCCGAAGTACCCGAAGATGAAGACGAGGAAGATGAGGTTCCGGCTATGAAGCATGCCACTCAACCTGCACCAGAGATTGCTGTACCGCGTCCTCGCAGTCATCGCCATAATCTTAGTGAGAACCTTGAACGCGAGGCGGCGAACGAAGAGTATCACTTGGAAGAAGCCATCGACAAGCAGTTTGCGGAAGGAGGTGACTTCAGTACGGAGCCAGAGACTAACGTATCCTACAAGCCTTCGAATGCTGTGGCTAACCCTACGTGGGAGGACTCGCGAACGATCCTGCACCAACCTCAGCCGCACAGCAAATCGCATTCACTCACCAAGTCTCAGAAGCCTGTCTCCTTCTCGTTCCCTGCCCAGCAGAACCCTCGCTCCGACAGCGACGGTGCGAAGACCAACATCTCGGAGAACACAAACCCCAGCTTGGAAGATGGAGAGGTTCGCAACCCTACACAAAGCTCTGCGCAGCACTCCCAAGCACCGTCCCAGGTCAGCAACTCATGGAAGGACAACAAGTTCGCATTCAGCAAGCCTGCATCGGCGATGCACAGCAAGCACGCTTCACGTTCCTCGATCTCGAAGCTCAATGTTGAGGCTAAGGAGTTCAAGTTCAACCCTGCAGCGTCTTTCCAGCCAGGATCCTTCTCCTCAGGCTTCAGCTTTGCACCCGCAGTTAAGCCACCTACAGCTGCTGCTCCTGCTGCTGTCTCAGCCAACAACAAGCCCAGCATCGATGCATTGGCCAACTTCAACGTGTCAGCTCCTGCCTTCAAACCGGATGCACCAGTATTCAAGCCTGATGCTCCGGCATTCAAGCCTGTGGCTGAAGCTCCCGTGTTCAAGCCTGCGGCAGACAGCTCTCCATTCCCGTCCGGTGGCTTCAACTTCTCTAGTCCGCCAGCCTTCAAGCCGGATGCGCCCACGTTCAACCCTGGAGTGTCTACATTCAACCCTAACAAGCCGGCTCCTGCTCCAACAAGCTTCTCCTCGAAGATCTTCGGAGATGTCAACCTGTCTCAAAGTGACATCGTCAAGCCCGCCACACGCTCGAAGGCCGTGCCGATCATCCGTCCGGACAACACGCGCTCGCAGACACCAGAGACTGAAGGTCGTGAGGACCACGAGGACGAGTCTGGCCGACCCAAGCAAGCCGATGGGCGCGAGAAGCGAGCTCGTCGTGACCGCGCTGATGGTGACGATGTTCCCAAATTCGCACTCCAGCCCGTGCTTGCGTCGCAGCCATTGGCAGAAGTCAGACAGCCCAACGCTAGCAAGCAAGAGCCTCAAGTCGAAAGGGAGGCCGTCGCAGAAGACAAGGAGAACCTGTCACCCCAGCGTGAGCAGATCAAGGCCAAGTCGAAGAGCCCCGAGCCTTTATCACAGCCGACGGAAGAAGTCATTATGGAGCCTACTTCGCCTGCACCAGAGAGCGATCTAGGTGCAGACGATGATACACCTCACGCGAGCGATGTGCCTACGCCAACTACCGAGGAGCCCGAGCCACTGGGCAACAAGCACTCTCACAAGAGCACGCTTTCTGCCAACGCCAAGCCCTTCGAGTTCCGACCGCAGTTCAACAGTGCTGGCTACGACTTCGGCTTCCACGTTACGAAGCCGTCTCAGGTTGAAGATCCCGAGAAGTCTCAAGTGTCTCCACCGAGATATGCAAGCAGAAGCCCAGCAACTACGTACAGGCCTAGCGACGACGGCTCGTTCAAGACTGCTATGGAATCTGGCAGGCACAAGGGCTACCCTGAAAGCGAAAGTGCTGACTTCGATCAACTTGGTGATGCTTCCTTTAACGACATTGATGCTGTCATGAAGCATATGGATGGTGAGGGCTCGGACTTTGGCGTCGAGCGCGACGAAGCCTCTTGGGACCAGTCTTCCCCCCAGAGAACACCAAACGTGTTTGAGCGCAATGACCTGCAACCCAACTTCAAGATGCGCAGTGACGCCCCCAGCCCCAGCCCCCGTCGGGGATTCTTCCCGGGACGGCCGATGCAGGGTTCTGCAACATCGGTGCAGGATCCGTTTGACGATGAGCGGGCTGCGCTCCCATACGACTCGCCTGTGCGCCACATGAACAATGCCGACGCCGGACCCATGAGCGATTGGGACGAAGGTCTCCTTACTGAAGACGAATCTAAGGTCCAGACACGCAGTGGCTTTTTCGACAAGCATGTTGATGACCTCATGGGCCGTCTCCTGCAGGACCGCCTTGGCCCGCTAGAGCAAAACCTGCAAGGCATTCAAGAGGCACTTGCAATGATGTCGCAACGTCCGGGACGCGGCCGCCGTAGCATGTCAACTAGCGCACGCCTGGACAGCGATGCCGACGACGAAGATGACGAAGCAGAGACCGACGTTGACTACCGCAACCGATCTCGCGGCAAGGACAGGAAGTTGGAGAAGATCCGATCCATCGTCCAGGACGCGCTTGAGATGCACCAATCACAGATCACATCTATTCCGGTGCCCGTTCCCGAGCCAATGATCCCAGAGAAGATCCGGGAGATCGTCACCGATGCGCTTGCGCAACACCAGCCACCCGTACAACCTGTCGAACCTGTTCCTGCTGCTCAGATCCGCGACATTGTCCAGGATGCGATTGCTTCTACCACCATTGCATCCTGGACTGAGGCTCTCAAGCCTGACGACGTTCGTTCTATCCTTGCTGACATGCTCGCAACCCATCTTCCTAAGCCCGTGGAATCGGTCAAGCCTGACGACATCCGGTCCATCGTGTTGGAAGCGTTCGAGACGCACGCTCCTCAGCCAATGCCACCCCCAGTGCCTGAGCAGATCTGGCCTGACGACTTGAAGGCAATCGTTACCGAGGCTCTTGCGTCACAACAAACGCCAGCTGTGGAGCAATTGCAAGCGGAAACCATTCGCTCCATTATCGCTGAAGCACTCGCATCCCACCAGCCTTCAGCTCCTAGTGCGCCAACTGCCGAGAATGTACAGCCCGATATGATCCGTTCTATCGTTGCCGAGGCCTTGGCGAACCAGAAGCCTGCTGCCACTCTTGAGGCTCCCGTCGATATTCCCCAGCCACAGGTCGATATGTCCGAAATCTACCAGGTCATCGGTAGCCTCAAGGCTTCTATTGCGCAGACCACTAGCCACCATCTTCAGGCTGAGGAGGTTCGTGAACTTGTTGAGGAAGCTCTGAAGCGCCATGGTGAAGAGGTTGCCGAGCGTGAGAACTCCAAGGCCGTCCAGGAGAGGGATGTTCGTATCGCGGACCTTGAGGAAATGCTCAAGGAAGCCACTCTCCGATTCAACGAGGAAGCTGAGGCCCGCCAAGCCCTCGAGGCTCGTGAAGCGGACTCTGCGCGCCTGCTCAAGGTCACCGAGGAAGAGCTCACGCTTCTGCAGCAGACTTCCCGTGATGACGAACACAAGATTGGTACATTGACAGAGGAGCGAGATGACCTCCGCCGCAGCCTCAATTCTTACCAGGCGGACGCAGCCGACATGCGCGATAGACTCGCCACTCTCGATATTGAGAACGAGCAGCTCAAGCTTACAAACATCGCCCTGGAAAGCTCGGAGGAGGACCTGAAGAAGAGGCTCGATTCAGTCACCGCGGAGAACGAGGCACTCAACTTTACGCTCGAGGAACACCGTATGTCCGCTAACAAGTGGCGTGGTGACCTGCAGCACGCTCACGAGGAAGGAGAGCAGCTGCGCAAGGCTATCGGAGAGGCGCGCTTCCAGGCCGAGGAGGCAACCCGAGTACGCGAGTCGATGCGCACCAAGCTCGAGAAGCTACAGCAAGATATGGTTGCCGCTTCACAGCAGATCGCATCTGAGCGTGCTCAATGGCAAAAGAACGAGGAGGCCTCCGCAACCAAGTACGAGGTCCTCAGCGCACGCATTGAGGCTGAAGGTCGCACACGAGAGCGTCTGGAGAGGGAGCTCGAGCGCTTGGAGACCCAAGAACGTGAGGGTATGAGACTCAGGATTCATCTCGAGCAAACCCAGAAGCACAACGCCAGACTTGAGGAGACAATTGAAGAGCTGAGGAGGGAATCTTTGGAGCACCAGAAGAACGCCCAGCGCTACGAGCGTGACATGCGCGAGGCTAGGGATGCTGCGCACGTTGAGATCCGCCGCACCCGCGTGCTTATGGAGGCCGATGTTGACGCAGCTAATAACCAAGTCAACATCGTTCGCCACGAGCTTGAGAGCGAGATTGCTCGTGTCCGCGCTGAGCTTGACCAGGTTCGCCTGGATGCCGATACAGCCAAGGAGAAGCACGAACTGGATCTGGAGGCCGCTTCCGATTTCAAGAAGCAAGCCGTACAGGAAGCGATCGAGAACAACAGGCATAGCTTGCAGGAGCAGCAGCGCACTTTCGAACGCCAACTTGAGCACGTGCAGCATGAGCATGCTCGCGCTCTGGAATTCGCCCGTGAGGACAAGGATCGTGCTGATGCTTTCCACAACGACAAGCTTGCGCTCGCCGACTCCAAACTCGACCACTTCAAGGACAAGATTGCGCTGCTGGAAGAGAAGCTTCAGGTTGCGAAGGAAGCCGCCAACGCCGCTGTTGCAGCAGCATCCAAGTCTCCTACGTCTACCTCTTCGTTCGCTCCTAGCGGGGCAGAGAAGATCTCGCCCCAAGCGCTGCGCGAATCTATTGGTGTTCTCCAGGAGCAGCTGCAAGAGCGCGAGGGTCGTATCGAAGCTCTTGAGCGCCAGCTTGAAGATGTCGATACCGAGGCTCCAGCCAAGTTGAAGGAACGCGACACCGAGATCAACTGGCTCCGTGAGCTACTTGGTGTACGTGTTGACGACCTGAACGACCTCATCAACTCTCTTGCTCAGCCAACCTTTGACCGCGAGACTGTTCGTGATGCCGCAATCCGCATCCGTACCAACTTGCAGATGGAGCAAAGTGAGAAGGAGCGACTCATCTCGGGTGGACAAAAGTCCCTCCCAACTCTGAGCTCGCTCTCGAACTTCGCTTCTCCCAAAGCAGTCCAGCTCGCTGCCGCCATCGGTAACTGGCGCAAGGGCCGTGGCGAGGCTACCTCTGCTCTCGCAGGTACCTCGACCACCACGCGAACCCAAACGCCCTCCCGTGCGCAGCCTCACTCCGCCCAATCTTTTCTCTCCGGCCTCATGACGCCACCAACCTCCAACGCGCGCCGCGGATCAGAACTCTCATCCTCATCGCAGCGTCCCCAGCCCCTGCGCACAAACTCGAACAGTTCGCGCGCGTCAACCGAAGCCGGTTTCCCCGCCCTGGGCAAGCAGCCCCGCACACCACCTCTGATGCGCAAGCAAGCCTACGACCAAGACGCCGAAATCGAGCCTTTCAGCGAGAGCGGCTTCTACGACGATGAAAGCACTGTTGATGGCGAACTCACGCCACTAGCATTGAACTTTGGAAGGGAACTACAACAACGGTAGATTCCGCGACCATGACAAAACAAACAAGATCGACGAAACTGCAAAACCAACAGCCTTTTCCTTTGTTAAAGAGTTTTTTTCCTTTTTGCGTTGCTTTACCGCTTGCTCTATACGAGCGTTTTCTGTCGCTGCCATATCATGGGTTCTGCGTCTGTTATCTACCTTAATGCTTGCTTGTTCTGCTTGCTCGCGTTTTTTCTTTTCTGTCGTTTTACTGCACAGCACAGCGACTTAGGTTGGCTATTGGAATATATACCCCCGCAAGACCGTTTTTCTGAAGTTACAGCTCAAATTGTATACACACATAACAGATTTCTCCTGGTTATATAGCTTTTCTTATGTATGTTAGGGAATGAATGGGAGGGATACTGGGCGGAGGAAAGGAAGGTTGCGCTATTTGGAATTTAGATTTAGTTGGATATCAAATTGGGTAATATATACTGTTCTTTTTGAAATACAACGTGTCTTGTAGAACATAGACCACAAATTTCGTAAAGTGGGTGATGAGAGTTACGAATACCCATAATCAGACACCCATCGGCACGGCTCTCAATCTTGACTCGCGGTGCCGACGGGCGACATCCACGGCATCATCATGCACACATGTGCTAGCCGAGCGGCCTAGTTCCGTCCTCTGTATTAACCGGAAGAGGCAGGGCCTATCGAGCGGTTTAACGTAACAAGTTCGGGTTATGAGTTTATTTCCGGACAAGGGCGTAGGGACATGTCGACCTCCACTTTTTTTTGCTTGCCTTCCTTACTCTCCAACCGAGGGAGGCGCAAACATGACTCCTAACATGTTCGCACGCGTTTGCGATCTGGTTTCTATGTGTTTCTTGGTGCACAGGGTTGCATAGGTGATTGTTCAAGGATTTCAAGAGATTGGAAAGAGTGGGATTGTGTGATTGGGAAGGATTGTGCTGTGTGATACCGTATTCCCGGGAAGAAGGCGAAGACGAAGAGAAACGACGAACGACGACGCAGAGGAGGTCAGCAAACGTGGAAGTAAAGATGGAGGCACCGCAAGGAGAGAAAGAGCAGGGTGTTAATGGAAGTCAAGGAAACGACATGTCAACTTCAGAGAAAAGCATGGTTATTGCTAATCCTCAACCGGATATCGAACTCGACTCCACTACCAACAACAATCTGCAGTCCATGCCAGGAATCTCGCCAACCCATCGACAACCCCAAGCATCAAGCAAAACGAGCACTGCCCCAGATGTTCACCCGGTGGATGTTCCCCCAAACGGCGGCTACGGCTGGATCTGCGTCGCCGCCGTCGCAACAATAAACGGGCACACCTGGGGTCTCAACTCCGCCTACGCCATCTTCCTCGCCCACTACCTCTCCACGTCCACTTTCCCAGGTGCCACACCCCTCCAATACGCCTTCATCGGCGGCCTCTCCATCTCGCAAGCCCTCATCGTCTCCCCGGTAGCAACGTACACAACGCGTCGCTTCGGCACCCGCACCACGCTCTTCATCGGCGTATTCTTCGAAACCGTGTCCTTCATCGGTGCGAGCTTCGCGTCGTCCATCTGGCACCTCTTCCTCTCCCAAGGCGTGTGTTTCGGGTGGGGAATGGGTTTCCTTTTCGTAGGCTCCGTGGGCATTGCTGCGCAGTGGTTTACCACACACAGGAGTCTGGCGAATGGGTGTTGTGCGGCGGGGAGTGGGCTCGGGGGGCTGATATACAGTCTAGCGGCACAGGCGATGATTAGGGATATTGGGTTGCCGTGGGCTTTTCGCACGCTGGCGGTTATTGCGGGGGTCGTGAATAGTGTTTGTGCGTTGGTGATTCGGGATCGGAATAAGGAGGTTGGGAGTAGGCAGGTATGTCGTTTTTTCTGTTATTAGTATATGTGTCTGCGAGGGTACAACAACGGTGGCTTGTATCCTCCAATGCACATATCGCGCGTTCTGGCTCGAATACTTCATCACAACCAACTTACCCCCCTCGTACTGACATTCTGATAGGTCAGCTTCGACACCACCCTCTTCCGCAAACCCCAATTCATAGCCCTCCTCGCCTTCGGCGTCCTCAGCATGCTCGGCTACATCGTCCTCCTCTTCTCCCTCCCCTCCTACGCCCGCACCATCGGTCTAACCGCCCAACAAGGCAGCATCATCGGCGCCGTCTTCAACCTCGGCCAAGCCCTCGGTCGTCCGCCGATAGGCTACTTCTCAGACTCTATCGGGCGGTTGAACATGGCGGGCAGCATGACATTTCTGGTCGGAGTGTTTTGTCTCTTAATCTGGATCTTTGCAAAGAGCTTTGGCGTATTGGTTTTCTTTAGCCTGGTGGGCGGGATGGTGGCGGGCACATTTTGGGCGACGGCTGCGCCGGTTACGACAGAGGTTATGGGGTTGAGGGATTTGCCGAGTGCGTTGAGTATTACTTGGCTGGTACTTGTGTTGCCTACTACCTGTGAGTAATATTCTTCTTTTCGCCTGGTTCTCTGTAAATCTTTCTCACGGTAGGGTGCCGTCTACGTGCGTACTTTTGCTAATGGGCTGTACAGTTTCGGAACCAATCGGCCTTGAGATCGTCGCTTTCAACGGGGGGAGCTACACCGGGGCCATCCTCTTCACGGGTTGGATGTACATTGGAGCCGCGGTCTGTCTGTGGATGGTAAGGACATGGAAGATTGGTGAGGATGAAGAGAACGCTGCGGCAGCTGCGAAGCGTGATGTTGACCCGAATCCGGCTGAGGCCGGGAGCTTTCAACGGAGCCCGTTCGTAAAGAGGATGTTTATGATTCGGAAAGTCTAATGTCATGCTAAGTAAGACACGATCTTCAAGCACAGCGGTTGCTATTTAATTTATTGATTCGATTCTACAAAAGAGAGGAAAATGTCCAAAACGCTATTCTAGCAATCTAAGCCAAGAGGTATCATCATTCATCAACGCATTCCCATATCCATCTATCGCGACTCGCACTGAGCCATGAACCTGTACATGCCTTCAACGCCCTGGTATTCCAACGGGGTGTGCATGTCCATTTCATCAGCCTCACTGGTATGCAAGCTATCGTATCCTGAAGGCGATGAAGAAGATAACCACGGGTTTGGCTCAGTCTCAAAGTCGTCTAGCTGGTCGTAGCTTTGTTCCGAATGAGTCGAGAAGTCTTCTGAAGCCGCGAGTGATGGCGAGAGCATGTGCGTCCAGTCAATGTTCGGTTGTACGTGTTGGCGCTCGGCAACGGGCTTGTCGTAGAACGAACATTCGGAGGGTGTTTGGCTAGGTGCGAAGGGGAAGAGCAGCGCGATGTCGGTGCCGACGAAAGCGTCAAAGTCCGCGTCCTGATGAACTGCGCCTCTGGAGACCTCAAAGTCGTTGCATATCGTCTCCACTGTTTGCGCATCGCAACCAGGGAAGTGGACTTTGAGAACCGAGTTTTCATACGAGATCGGAAGATCGCCTAGTGCCGCCAGTCGTTGCAGATCGTTCAAAACGGCTGCGAGCTCCTTGACGGCCCTTGAGAAGTCGACGGACAGAACATCAAGGAGACCCTCGCTGTTCAGTGTCTCCTTCTCCTGTGCGAACGAGGTAAAGCCCTTGACGGCCTTGAGGGGAGTAAGAGCGGTGACGGTGGGGTTAACGTTGAAGCTGATGTAGGATCCAGGGGTGGCCTTGGGAACCTTGTTCAGCGTACGGTTGACCTGGTCTTGTAGCGCGGACACAGTCTTGAAGCGCTTCTCGCCGTTGTGAGGATTGACGCCATCGAACTGAGCCTTCTGTCCACCGACGAGGAACGCTCGTACAGCTTGAGAGACGTTGTTGATGACTTGGGCGGGCGATGCGGGTCCATGCGAAAAGTAACGCGCGCCTCCGGCCCTGCCAGAACCCCAGCCGTAGCCTCCTGCGGTTCGTCCAAGTGCGCCGCCTGTGAGATTCGGGCGGAGGGTCGATGCGAAGGGTGCGCGGCCAGCCTGGGCGTTGACGATGCTTCCAATGCGTGACTCGGGGAAGGAGGCCTTGTCATACTTCACGCCCGAGTTGCGAGCTGCAGAGGTGGTGAAGCGACGGACGGCGGCGCTGATCTGGCTGTGGGTGGTGTACCATCGGCCCTTGCTCTGCTTGAGGTAGGCAATGCGGTGAAGAGGGTGCTTTGGCGCATTTCGAGCGAGGATAGGTTGTAGTACTGCATCGGCAGGTCGTGCGGATTCTGGTAGTTGTTTCTGTACGAGTTTCGCAGCATGTTTCCAGGCAGCCCTTTGTCTGTCAGTACGCGACCTCCTCGAATAGTAATGCAAACTTACTTGAACGCTCTCGCGTTCTTGGCCACCGAGTTGTATAAATGCACCACGGCAGGTGCCATGATGATTGTGTGTTCCAAGAGAGGAGAGTGGTGATGCGTCGAACTGTGGGGAAGGCGACGTTAATGAGGCGCAGGGTCAATGTCGCCACCGATCGGCACCATTGGTCTGGAACGCCGAGCAATGACGACGATCACATGCCAACTCACTCACCGCACCCTGGCTTTCGTTTCAAGTGAAGTGAAGTGAAGTCTGATCTTCTCCGCCTATAAACTGCGGCTGCAAGTTCCAAACATCGTTTGCTTGATGGCGCAGTGATTGAGCCATGTTGCGCTGCTGTTGCCTGGCGGAGTGTGCCAGGATGCGAATCTCTCGTGGATGGAATGGTAGCAACTGAAGTAAAGCACCGGAATCGGAGTAGCAGCCATGCGACTCGACACCAGTAACCACTTCACGATACATGAGCGCATCACCCTGCGACACCTGGAAGACAGAGGTAAGATTTCACCATACGGGTCTAAGCTCAATACCAGGAACAGAAGGTATTCATTTTCGTACTTTTACAAAGCAAAAGCCACATCCGCAGACCCGACATCCGCTTATATACTTTGCTTCATCGAAAACAAGACTCCCAAGCAACCACATCCACCTATAAGTAAAGGAAGAACATGATTACCATATATGCCTGAGGGGAGAGAAAGCTGCCATCGAGTTTTGTATGCTGAGTCGGATGAACATGCAAAAGGTAGACACACACACAAAAACGCCAGCTTTCAATGCTACGAGGCCCCTAGATCCATGAAAAAGAGGTGGAAAAGCCAGATATTCCTGAGAAGGGTATTTCGTATTGTGGGATTGGTAATTCGTGTGAACATTAAAGGAAAAGGTTTCCGAGACGCGAGGGCATTCTATCGAAGGAGGAAAAACAGTTGGTCGACCGCCGACCGGGTAGAAAACGCCAGAACATGAACTTTTTGTCAATGTATACACAGTCCGAAAACTCGCAAGGGGAAGATGAGAAGCAACAAGACCGAAGACCGGGACGAAGACACGCATAAACCTTGGCTCATACGACAGAGTTGAGACAGCACTTTGAAAGCATCATGGCAGTGTCAACAGAGCCAAGGTATCTGCATCAAGCAAATCATCAATACGTTGTCGGCTTCGAGGGTCCATGCTGCCGCTGCGATAGACCGCTTTCAGCTGATCGAAAGCTGGACGTCGCTCGTCTTCGGTCCTGATAAGTTCAACAAAGTCTGAAGCTACCCGCTGTCGAATCACGCTCTGTGGCGAAAGCAGAGACTCGCCGTAAAATTTGGTAAGATTGGAAATGCCAGTATCCGTCCTCCGGTGGGCGGCGTCTTCGAAAGCCAAATGGCGGAACTCGTCATACATTGATTGATTGAAATTGCGAATCAAAAAATGCGACCAGAATTGGTAAAGAACGTTCATGTCGTAAGGGGTTGTGCCGAGGGGTGCGTTGGATCGCTGATGAAGAGCTTTGGATCGAAGGTGAAAATACGATTCATGCGATGAATCAGAAGGGATGGTGTGAACTGGGCTGTGGTGATCTTTGACCCAATAGAGGCGAACAGGGGCGATTGGAGAAGTCGACCGGAACGGGTCGGTGTCGAGTTGTGGGTGATTAAGATGGCTCTCAGGAATACTATCGACGTAATTAGCGCATACATTCAGCTCCTCTAAAACGGCAACTTACCCATCAGACATTCCGGCACCGTTGACCCTCAATTGGCAGGTAATAGACTTCTCTGGCTCATCTGGCACGCCGTGTTTACTATCGATGGAGCCATTAGAAAACGTTCGGGAAACGGAAGGAGGTAACGACATTTGCGACGGGGGTTGCTTGCGCATAACGACTGTCAAGCTGTCGAGTTGCAAGTCGGAAAAAGAATCAGGAATATCTCCACTCACAGCCTTTGTCGAGCTCTCGATTGGGTGACCATTCGAGACGGCCGCGTTCACTTCTTCGGCAGCCACGCCATTCGTCTCCGCCGGCACTGAACCGGCATCCTGGGCAACGGGATGGAAACCGTTCATTTGGGGGTACGCGCCCTCGTTACCGAACGGGCTGAATGCTGGGGACATGGCCGACCACTGAGGAGGGTTGGATGGATCGAAGCCTGCAGGGCGAGAGACCTGAGGCTGGTTCAGCTCTTTTGGTCCCTCGTTCTGTGCAGACGGATCACGCTCGGCCATGTCAAGAACCCATTGCTGCCAGCCTTCCTTGCGACGTAATCGGTCCTGGCCGTTCTCGCTGGTGCGGTACTCGATCGTGGCAGACTGTTGGCAGACGAGCCTAATCATGTCGATATCAGGAGACAGGCTCTTGATGCGGTTGAAACCGGCGATGAATTCAAGAGCAACGAATCCCTGAGAGTCCATGTGGCGACGTAGGTACAGGTCCTTGATCAAGTTATCAACAGAGAAGTAGTACTCCCTAGTAATCTGTTAGCATGTTTATTGTGACGGGCGGATAAAAAGCATACACTTGGGTCGTGATCATAGCGAAGACCGAGTACTGATCGACGCCGTATGGGCTGTACGGTAATCCAGCGCTCATGGGCGCAGGCATTCCATAAGGATACATCTCATGCGACGTTTGAATAGGAGCTGGGTACCCGGGCTGGAACGGTGGATACCTGTATGGATCGGTGGTCAATGACTGTGAACGGTGGTTGTTGCGACCGAATTTGCCATGAGGCGCGGGGAAGAAGCTATTGCTTTCAGGTACAAAGGTCGTGGGCGATCGTGGGCCCAAGGGAAAGCTCGACGTGGAGTGCCCGTTGGTGAAGTGGTGTCCAGTGGTGTAGTTACCACGGCCGCCACGACCTCCGCGGCCACGTTCGCGGCCGTTAGAGAACGAACTAAAGCGCTTGGAATGGCCATGCGAGGAGCCGTCCTGGAAGGTGTGTGCTCTACGCTCACCATCTCCAGCGGCGTCTGTCTGCGTTCCAGCAGAATTTTGACGCTCACCCCAGGTGTTATCCTTGGTAGGTGAGGATGCGCCGTCTCTCCTTCGCTCTCCGGCACCGTGGAATTCGCCTCGGCGGCCCTTGTGAGGCTTGGTGGGGTACTGACGTTGGTAAGCGCCGTTTTGAGCGGGCACGTTGGACAATGACGATCGCCTGGGCTGCGCTTCAGACTCGGAGGGTACGGGGCCAGCGGCTTTGCCAGCGGCGTCGCCGTTGACTACAGGGGCCTGGCCGTTGAGTGTAGGGGCATCTGCGCTACCGTTACGCTTTGCCTTGGGAGACGCATCCTGGGTAGCTGTCTCAGCGCGCTCGCGCCTCGTCTGTTCGCCGTTTGGTACGAATCCATCCTTCTCGGTCTGTTCTGCACCGTTGCCGAAGCTAGTAGGCCTGCCGCCGTTCACTGCTCCACCGCGTCCTCCGGGACGGCCACCTCTCCTGGCGCCTGCCGCGTTTGGGAGAGGCGTGTTGAACACAACTGTCGGTGTGTAGGGGATTTTCACCCACTCATGCTTGCTAGTCG